GCATGAATGAGTCAAAGCAAGGCTTTGGGCATGTTTTTTTATGAGAGTATAACATTATAACATGATATAAAACTCAAAAAAGTTGATTTTACATGATACTGCCCCTTTAAAACTTGAACTTTTTTTTTCTTCTAACAAATCTTATATTCTGAATCATGAGTTTGTACATTTTCTCTCCAATAGTCAAGAGATGCTTTTGGGAAGTTTGTGAAGAAAGCCATCGTGCACTACAGGGATGATCTGGATCTTCAGAACCTGATGGATTACATCCAGAAAGAGGTGCTCTGCTCAATTCTGTTTTGATAAAGTGCAGCCTGTTTATAGCCATCCGGCTCTCTCCGGTCTCCAGACTAAACAAGACTTATCAAATATATCTGAGCACTGAGCCAAGAACCCACAGAAACCATAGGTCTTATTTGAATGGGTTCTGGCCTTGGGGAGCATTTTCCACATGATGAAATAAACATACATACATTTCCTGTACCTCTGTGGGATCTCTCATGTGGTTTTCCTCCTCCATCTGCACATACTGGCACCAACTGTGAGGCTGGGTTTTCCCAAGGTAGAAACCCAAACTGGCATGCTGCACGGCACAGACCAAGACGACATGAGYGCATTTACCTGTGCTCTGCTCTCCTCTCTCTCCTTTGCTTAGTTTAAGTGTTGCGGGTGGAACAACTACACCGACTGGTCWTGGAACCTGTACTTTAATTGCTCGCAAGAAAACCCCAGCTCCGAGCGCTGTGGAGTGCCTTACTCCTGCTGCACTCCGGTTCCTGGAGAGGTGAGTTGTTTTTCAGCGTTGCTTCATGAAAAATAAATCAAAACCAAGGAACGAATGGGTCAAATCTGGTAATCACTAGCACATTAACAGTGTTTCAAATATGTTAGAAGAGGTTAAATCCCAGTCTGGAATTCCATTTATTAATTTCAAACTGTTTTTAAAATGTTATTTAAAAAATACCAAAGATAACACAGTTTGTCAGACGAAACAACAGACGTTCGGCATCAACAAAGTGATTCCCAAAGAACCATTAGCTGAAAAACTGGCTTACAGTGGATATACTGCAGTATGATGCATCTGTCAGGTGTTTGTTTTTCTACCTCTCTTTTTGAAAGATATGTCTCTCAGATACAGAGCCCAAAAGGGGACATGGGGGGATTTTTTTTCTTTTGCGTTCCCTCGCAATATTGTTTTGCGTTCCCACGCAAAAGTTTGATTTGTATATGAACTGAATCAAATCAGACTTTTATTTTGAAATATCCGGTTACCAAAACAGGATGTGTCGCCACAAGTTAGTGACATTTGCTGTGTCCAAAACGACAGGCCGGGTCCTCCGGAGGACCCAGACTCCCCGGTCGAGGCGGGTCGGGTCCTTGGTAGACCGGAAAAAAAGAGGCTGTGAATTTGGACGGTCTAGCCTCCCCTCCTTACCCCGGCGTACGCCATCTCACCTAGCAACTGTGACGACGCTAAACAAGCAAACTTAAATCAAAATTAGAAAAATATCGATATATTAGCAGTATTAATATCACAAAACTATAAAATTAACTTAAAGGTAACATTTGAAGAACTAATTGACCCGCTGTAGGTTCATGTTTATTTCGCGTTTTATGATTAAAATAATATTTAAAAACATGTCTATACAAATGATAAAAGTATTAGAATTACAACCACTAATTTTTTTAATTTCCATATCACCATATTTTTATTTAAAACGTATTCTTTTCTCTCGCTTCGTCCGCCATTACTAGCTTAAACAAATCTCCGGTCGGGCCGCAATGCATWATGGGATATGCTGGGCCGGGAAGGATCCATCGGACCAGTCCTTCAAATCGGGGAAAAAGAAGGACGTATTTGTCGGCCGCATCGGAGGAGTCTTCGGTTTTGGACGTCCGTCGCGGGGCTGTGACGTATGCGGCCGACAAATTCGACCTTCGGAGGACCCGGCCTGCCGTTTTGGACACAGCACTTGACATTGATGTTGCGTGGCTGCACTGTGTTCAAATGTTGGCATATGACATACTTCCATGCGTGGTTGTGTAATATATTCATTCTGAAGCTAAATTAAAGCAGTAGGCTAACTCGCTAATGGTGAACATGTGAGCTTGTTAATAAACCGGCAGGTRCAACAGTGATAAACGACTTTTGCGAGGGAACGCAAAAGGTATTGCGAGGTAACGCAATACTTTTGCGTGRGAAYGCARAARGAAAAGAAATCTCCAGTGTCCCCTCGCGGGCTCCGTTCTCAGACACTGTTCATCTGTGCGTCTTTTGTTGYCCATGTTTGTGTCCCYYMWTTTTTTTAAACACAATTTATTATCATGGTCAGGTTACAAGAACTAGGGAAAAAAATAAACTAAAAATCAGCCAAAGTCCAAAGAATAAATTTCAGAGATTCATTCAGCAAAACCACTTTAAAAGATAACCAGAAATTCAGACTACTTGGAAGCAACAAAGTGCTTCTTTTTCCACCTCTTCGAAAGCATCTCTATTATAAAAAATTGAGGTGGTTTAAAAACTTTCACACAGCAGTAAAAATACATAATTATACTGGAACACATGAATGATGTGMATTTTGCACGTTTTGCTATGCAGACGTCAGTGATTTAAAATGTTTCAGAACTYCATTCAGGACATTGATTGATGACAAATAATGAAGAACAAAAATCAAACTATTACAATTTAAATTTRCACACTGTAGAGCTAATGGTCTGTGCTAAAAACACAGCCGGTGTTTGCCTGACTGTGTCAAAAACATTTGAGTTATGTTGACACTGGAAGTGGACTCTGGTTTACTGTATTTTTTATTTTATTTATTTTTTGCCTGAAGGGGACATCAGCATGTCTCCATCTGCAGACAGGAAGTGACACGCAACTGGGCTCAGAACAAACTGGTTTTCTGTTGACGACAACCTAAAAATAACGTAGAATATCTGCCCTTTGACATCAAGTTTTCTGATGTGATTTGGATTTACAGATCTACAGTATAGTTGAAACTGATGTAATATGTATTTATAAAAAATACAACTAAATGCTGTGGTTGTAAACCCATTTGAGCTATACACTTCCGTACAATTTAAAATTATATAAGGAAAAAATACGATTTATTATTTCATTTATTCCACATTCTTTTTTCAATTAGATGGCATCAATGTTTAAACCGTTTCAAGCAGGAGCATATTTGCCTCTGGCTTGCATCACTTCTGTGGAAGACCGAAACGGACATAATTAGAAATAAAAGCAAAAATATATACATGGACTAATAAAGAAAAAAGAAATTAAAATGCGCCAATTTAATTAAAAATGGAGAACTTTACCTCATGTTTTGTAATTTAATTTAACTTCATATTTATTTTTCCAGCTTAAATTATATATTTTACCACACTGTGATGCCCCAGTTTAGTTTAAAACAAAGGCAAGGAGGAAAAACACTTACCTGCGCCTTTGTTTTAAACTAAACTTTAAACTTTAAACTGAGGCAGCACAGTTAATCTACACATAGCTCCTGCTCCTTCCTGTCTATTGACCAATAGGAGAGGAGCTGACCCAAGAAGCTCCGCCCACCTTAATTAAATAATGAGGCAGAAATGCATAAGGTAAAGTAAAATGGGAGACAGAGAAATGTAAAAGCAACATAAGAAAATAAAGACTTGAGAAAAATTATAACAAAAAACAATTAAATATAATAATTTAAGAGACACAGATGCATGTAAAAGGGAACGGAAAAACAAAAAAAATACATATTTTTAAATAAAGTAAAATGTAAATTATGTGTTAAAATGTATAATTTATTGGAACTAAGCTCGAAAAACAAATATTAAATTATAAAACGTGAGGTAAAGTTCTCCTTTTTTAATGTAATTGGTGCATTTTAAATGCATTTATTTATKTATTGGTCCATTTATACATTTCTGATTTTATGTCAGTTTCAGTCCTCCATACATCTCTTCTATTAGGAACACAMAGTTTCTGAGAAGTGAGCAAAATCTTTTTCCTGTCTCACCTAATAYCAACTTATTGCAGCTCATTTCTGCAGCTTGCTTATAAGAGATGTTCATAGTGTTCTACATCGACACAATTTTTTTAATGATATGCTGATTAGATCAAGCATAGGTTTGATAAAAACTAGTTTCTCTCAGTTTTTGTAGTTATTTACAGTGGCGTTTTAAAACAAAGCCAGCTATAATTACAAAGAGGGATGTTTGTGAAACACTACATGCAGTAGATGTTGCCAGATTTTCCTTTATGCAAAATGTAATAACATTACCTGCTTTTACAGCACAGATGGTAGTGAGGATTGCACAAAGGTTTCATTATTTTAGCAACAAATGCAAAGCTGTCCACGCATGCATAAAATAGATTAGATTCTGCAAGCTGGTTCTTATTTGATGCACATAAAAACCTGTACTCRCGTATGCATCAGTACTCTTATTGAACATGTCCAAATCCCTGACCACACAGACAGGGCAGCACRTTTTAAAAGCCACCACACAGAAAATAACCTAGTGTTCATGCTGAGACATTACACTAATACTAACCTAACATCATATTACACAGAAAACATTATAGCAACCGTTTCCATCATAAAAAGGGATTAATTAAACAACACAAGATCTGATACTGTGCTGCAACCTGCTGGCAGCATCCTGCAAATTCATGGTCCATATGCATGGATGCTGTTTAGTCTGCAACATGTGACTGAACTGCTGCCACGGTGTTTGATAACCTTTTTATTCAGCTGTTTAGTAACTCTGCCTCAGTTCTCATCAGAAACACTTTGTTTTTACACAATAACTGTGATGTTTTATTACATCCCAAGTTTGTGAGGCTTTCAAGGTCATTCTTAGTGTTGTGTTTGTTGTACATACAGGCAGTGATCAACACTATGTGTGGGTTTGGAGTTCAAATCCAAAAACACCCGGATGTGAACAAGTCAATCTACTCCGACGGCTGCGCAGATCGAGCCGTGACGTGGATCGAGTCTCATCTGTTGCTRGTGGGGGCTCTCACCCTGGGTCTGGCCTTGCCTCAGGTAACCCCACACATGCACGCACTTAATGTTTGTTGTGCACTAACGAGCAGCAGCCTCCTACCACAAACAAGACACTGTTCAGAGCCAAAAATTACTATGGAGTAGGACTCAACATATCGATTGGACCTTTAAGGCAGACTCTCAACGGGGCATTTGGAAAACAGTAAAAGCAACACTTCATCAATCAGGACCATGCACCGAACCTGAAATAATGACAAATTAAACCTCAGTTTGAGAACTTCCTACAAGTTCAAGTTCAGAGTGTCTGCTATTCTACACGGTGAAATAAAAATATATCAGCAAAAGCCAGCCGGGGTTAATGAGAACTTCAAGGGAAGGTGTCATTTAAAATAGAGGATTTACAAAGCAATATTAAAGCACAATGCAATGAGATTTTAACAGCAAATTATCACAATGTGAGTAAAGATTATAGGTTAATATCTACTTTAAGTGATAACATTATGTTTCTAAAACAAAATCATGCAGGTTTTCTCCTCATGAAAAGTAGCTGCACTGCACACTTTCAATCCCACCGCAGCGTCCTTTTATGATCCAAAGTCAACATGGCATCGCTTTAGCACTTATCAGGAGCYGAGTTTAAATAATTAGTTCAGTTACTTCTCAAATGTTCGGAGCACCATCACACCACATTCTCGCACGTGCCATTGAAATGCGAGTCTGATCTCACTCACTCCGTGTTTGATTGGGTCCCCGATGAKTCTGCGAGGAAGGAAGCATGTGAATTTCTCATAAGTCCTGTCAGAGTAATTGCATTAGTGTTCGGGTTCTGGTAGCTTTGATGTTCGGTAGACGTGATTGTGTTAGGACTATCTTTGATAAACACATCAAAACCATTTTAAAAACAAGTCACATCAAACTTAACTGAAACCGTTAAAAACCTGCCTTTGAATATTTTCATTTTGTAAACACTTTATGATACAATTCCACTTGAGTTCTGTAAATACGAGACTAAATCATTTCAAGTCCAAGCCATTCTTATTTGGAAATACCTTCCTCAGAGTGCCAAACGAGAATTAAACCATCCTGCAGAGAGACCATGGGATGCTCATTACAGGCTGCACAGTTACCAAGAGTCTGCTCTGTAATCTAAAGTGGCTGCTGCTGTCCTCTAGATTGCAGGCATTGTGCTGTCCCAGATCCTGATCTCTCAGATCCAAAATGAGATTACCTCGGTGTTTTGAGAGCGGAGGTGGAGGCGAGAAGAAAAGAACCCAGAGTCCTCTGACAAGTGCAAATTCATCAAAAGTGTATATCCTTTTCTTACTCTGCCGGTGCCTTTAGGAAAACTGGTTTGATGCACTTAACCGAGTTACTTAAAAATAGGTATATATAGGAGGAAAGTGTATAACGATTTAAATGTTTTTGACTTGTAAATGTATTAAAATGTGATGTATTTGTTAATAAAATGTTTATTCTTTTTGTTTCAGGCAAAAGTTACAGAGAAATCCACTTTATTGATCTAGTGGTCAGATTTGAATCTCAGCCGTACGGGTTTTTATAATATTTCTGAGCCATGCAAGCATTTTAAACACTAAACCTGCTGACTTCTTACAACCATGCTAATTTTTGCAAGAAGCTAGTTAACTAAAAATAACATTTATAACACAATATTAGAGAGATCCACAGTTAGTTGTAACATTAGACTTTATTTGATAAACATGTCTTTTAACTGTAAAATAAAGACTGTAAAAATACTGTAGGATGTTTAGATTTGTAAATTTTTAAAAATATATTTTAACACGGACGAAGCCATTTTATTTACACGCAAAGCATTCTGGGTAAATGATGAYGTGGATAGGTCCTCGGTGCGAGGCTGCTAGYGAGCTATATCCACCCTGAAGGTTAATCTTGGACAATATCTGATGATCGACTCTTAAATGAAACCAGAGAGCGTTGACAGAGAGGAGAAGGTAGAAATGACTCAGTCTGGAACTGAAAATATGGATGGAGGACAACAGAGCTGCTTCATGGAAGAAGAACCTCAGCTTAGCCTGTTAGCTTCAGCGTTAGCGCCAACGGTATATATCCTTATATGTATTAGCTCGGCGCTGGCGCGACAGGCTAACAAGCTAAGCTGTTGTCCTCCATCCATATTTTCAGTTACAGGCTGAGTCATTTCTACCTTCTCCTCTCTGTCAACGCTCTCTGGTTTCATTTAAAAGAGTCGATCATCAGATATTGTCCAAGATTAACCTTCAGCGTGGATATAGCTCGCTAGCAGCCTCGCACTGAGGACCTATCCACGTCATCATTTACCCAGAATGCTTTGCATGTAAATAAAATGGCTCCGTCCGTGTAATATACTTTTAAAAACTTAGTTTAAAAATTTACAAAACTAAAAACATTCTACAGTATTTTTTCAGTCTTTATTTTACAATTAAAGTAAATGTTTATCAAATAAAGTCTAATGTTACAACTAATCGTGGATCCCTTTAAGAATCAAAAACGTGATTTAGCCAAAAGTGCAACAATATTGAGAAAAATAATGGTAAAAATACCTTTAAGCACAACTGATCTTTGACAATGGTTAAAAAACTGTTTGCATGGTTTATTATTTTTATCCAATGTCATCGTAGGGCTCTGTAGAAATCAGTTTTTTTACAAAGAAATATTTAATCATTTCTGAAGTTTATAATGWATAATTCTATTTATATATTTGAGGTCTTTATTTCCTTCAAAATCTCATCTTGATTGTATCGTACTTCTATAAAATAAGGCCACCAACCTACTAAGAGTTCAGCACAAAAGACTTCAACTATCTAGTCAACTGTGTCAAGCCTCTCCCAGCTGGTTGGAAGTCAATGAAAGCCGAGCAACAGAACGCCCGATTATGGGCTACTTTGATGTTTTTCACATGAGAATTGCTCCCACACCTTGCAATCATCCTAGGCATGAAGAGCCAGAGCTTTCTGCATCAGACGCTGGGTCAGAGGGGAGTTGGGCCTCACGGCATCACGCTCCACCAGCAGACACCTGGAGAAAGTCAACACAGTGCAGGACGGTGCAAAGAGATGAACTCAGCATTAAAGAGACTAGAAGCTGTGAGAGTCAACTAAATAATAAAGATATAACCTGGTGGACAGAATGTCAGCTACATAGTGGGAGAATAAAAACTTCTGCGTGAACAAAGACAAGAAGATGCTAGAGAAACTCATAGTGGACAGCTTCATGTAACTTTATCTAATTTTTACAAACAAGGGTGCTTCAAAGTTTTGCAAATAACCACAGGGTGACGCACAAAGGCATAAACACATTTAGAACATGGCAGAAACATTCAGATTTATTTGTCCAGGCTATGTTCTGGATGACACGTGTCCACAACTGCTCAGGATTCTGAATACAGCTGTGTCCCAGAACACACTGTTGGATCAAACCCTGACCTGATGTGACTCCGTGGTTTCTGAGAAATAAAAACAATTTGTAAAACCTGCATCCAATTTAATCACAACTGCCAGCTAGTTTAAAGAAAAAAGGCAATCAGTGGAAAAGCATTAAATAAATTGCTTTTTGGGGGTAAAACTCTGACTGACTGGATTTTCAGAATCCTTTATGGTAAAAAATAATTGATTAGTTAGATTAACAGGAGGCTGTACAATTGATTTGCCACACTTAAGTTTTATCAGCAGTGATGCCCTAAAAACAACACTCTGTAAGATCAAATATTAATTTTGTTTCCTGCTGCTGTACTGTATCTGTAACAGAACTGAGCTTGTCGAAACACCAGTACATCAGTTGGAGTCAGGCAAATCTGAAATGTAATCAATGGATGAGTTTATAAAAAAAAATAAAAATAAAAAAGCGTAAACCCTGTTTGTTGCTCATAGAATGCCTGGCAGGTTATTGTGTGTCCTGAATATGTTTGCATGTAGAACAGATATTTACTCAAGACTCAATCACCCAGAATGCATCTTGGTATCTAACATGAACAGTGTCTCAGCTGCAGGCTAAAACTGATCTAATGAAACTAATCYGTGTCAAACCTGCAGCTGATAGCAAAGCTTGAAAATGTTTGCAATAGATGCAATACAGGGTCATTTATTGTTTTGTGACTGATGTTAAAAAAGGTAAATAAAACTGACAGTTCCAAATCTGTCTGATATGAACTCTAGAAAACTCATGAGGAAAGTCTTAATAAATATTAAAAACATATTTGAAAACACATCAGGCTTGAATTATCACTTGTACATTACCTTGCCAGTTTCTGGTGACGCTTGTTCTTTGATTTCATGCTTGCATGGATGAGCAGATGATTGAACAAATCTCTCTGTATAAATGATAAAGAAAAATCATTAGTAAACAAGAATCTTTTTCCAACACTATTTAAAGTGCATCTACTTTTTTATTTATTACAAACTACAGAAGCCGTGAGAACAGTTTTAAGAAAATGGAACATAGAATACCCAAAGTCCATCAGCATCCATCTCAAAGATTTATTATTGATAAAGTGGAGCACTGCGCTTCATATTCTCATACCACAGTGTGGGGTACGTTCATAAAGCTAAAGGCTGCAGCTCTGAGGCACAGTGAGCTTCATTTCTGGCAACGTTTTACAACAACAGGGATTTCTGTTTTGCTCAAGAATACACATTACGTTACGATCAATAATATCCAAAGAAAGCAAACCTTYAGGGCCATAATGTTCTTATGTGTAATAAGAGGTCCGCTGCTGGGTTTGGGTTTAAGTCTTTTTAATATATGCTTTCATTTTAAAAAGGCACCCATTTCTGTGAACCGTACCTGTGCATCACTGCCACCAATGTCCACCATGCGGTAACGTAAAGGGTTCAACAGTTCCACAGTTTGGACGTAGTTACCGTTGTTATACTCCATCATTGCTTTACACATTGGGATGCCTATGCTCTCAGCCAGTACATGTTGCTGGTTGTCACCTGGATTTCTGTTAAGATAAGTGGCAGTGTAAAAAAGTAAATCACATTAAAAAGGACAAAAAAAAAAAGGAATAAAATTTAGATCCTAGAATGGTGCCGCTCTAAGTGTTAGCATGTTGGAGTAGCTCTGTAACATTCCTTATACTTTTTAAAACTTGTTTAATTAATCTTTTTCTGGAGAAAAATGGCTTTTTTGGATGATTATTCCTCAGCCATTAGATGCTGTACAGCTCAAAGGATTTCTGCTAACACCTTTTTTACTTTTGGACATTTGTTATGATGCTTAACCATAGCAGCAYGGTGGTTTGTTGTAACTGGGAGCAGCTGGTTAACATCTCAAAAGCTCAAATAACACCTGAACTACAGCCCTGAATCCCAGATGAGTTGAAACAGAAGCACCGTGGTTGCAGAGCAGAAGCAAAGAGAGGAAGAGGAAGTTGGTATGGGGGCAGACATTAAGATTTTTTTTCTTCTTTCTGCTCCCTTTCATTTAATGATTTTATGTTGTGTTGAAAATTATTGTTTTTTTAATTAAATGTTTTGTTTTTAATTAAATTAAATAAACAATTAAAAAAAGTTCAAATCATCTCTTCCATCAATCATGATGGGCAATGTAAGATCATTTGAGAACAAGTTGGATGAAATCCAAGC